AATTCAACCTCCTGCTTTATGTAGTACATTGATGAATTTTTACATATTAACCGTTAAATTAAGTAAGATAGGAATATGGAGAAATTTAATTACAACAAGGCAGCACGTGGCTTTTTCTTTTCTTTTTTAACCACTCAGTTTTAAAATCAAGTGTAAGAATCTTTTTTGAAAATTGGTACCCTACTTCTGGGAAACCTGTAGGTAAATTTTACAAAATTGTTTTTAATTGATTTTGATGCGAAATAGTTTGGATTTAGATCTTTTCTTGAATCTGGTTGTTGGATGCGTGATTGGTTTACTTGTTCATGTATTGATTCTCATCCAAGCAGTTAGCAACATAATTTAGGTAAGTGAGCTAGAATTGTATTTACAGATTTTACAGTTGGGCAATGAGGAATGATGTCTGCAGTGTTTAAAGAGTTTTACTTTACCCAAGCACCACTGCTACCATTTTTGTATAGTTTACACCAAAGTGGTACAGTTTAATGGGGAGAGAAATCTTTTCTTTTTTTCCCTACCTTTTAGAAACTATCTCTAAATGATGATATATTTGAAGCAGAATCTGACAGTGACTGGCAAGGTGAAACAAAAGATGATGCTTCTCCGAAGAAGAAAAAGAAGAAGTTGAAAGATGGAGAGGATAGAAGTCTAGATGATCTGAAGAAGAAAAAGTCTAAGTCTGCAAAACTCAAAGAAAAACCCAGAACAGAATGTGAAAATTCCTCAGATACTGTGGTTTCGGATTCAAAACCAAAAAAAAGGACTTCAGAAACCAAGGAGGATTCAAAGGACCCAAAGAAACAAAGGAAAGAAGATACTAAAGAAATCAAGAGAAAGAAGGGAGAAGTTAAAGATTCAAAAATAAAATCTAAAGAAGAGTCTAAAGAAAATAAGAAATCACGGAAGGAGAAGCATGGAGATGTTCAATTTGACTCAGAATCAACTAGTCTAGATAATGTCTTTTCTCAAGGAACTGATAATGAAAATTCAGACTTAAATTCTGAAAATAAAGACGAGAAGCAAATGGTAATAAGTGGAGAAGAGACATTGGAACAAGAAATTGCTGAAAAAGATTCCATTGCTGATGGGCATCTTGATGGATCAGCAAGTAATGAAGATGATAGTACTGATGTTAAGGGTAAAAGAAAGAAGAAAAAAAATCAGAAAGCTGAAGATCATAAAGAGGAAGGTAGAAAAATCAAAACTCAAGATACCTACTTAGAGAATAAAAGTATGCACAAAAGGCAAAAAGGTCAAGAAAAAGTAAAAATGGTACCGGGAGAGTTGGAGAAAGTGTCACCTGCTCCTTCACCAGTGCAGAAGAGTTTGAAATTGAGTGCCGATGAAAGAGGGTACAAGTCCACTAATTCAGCTGGGGAGGTAAGCAATGTTAAAGCATTGAGCTGGGGGCTGGGGATCAAATCAAATGTCTTTGAGGTACAGATATTTCAAAAGGCTACTGTTCATGATGGCAAGGAGAAAAATACAAATTGGAGAGTTAATGAGCTGGGAAAGGCCCACTGCACAATGCATAGGACAGACTGAAAAATTTTTGGATTCTTAACACTGTAGAGGAGGGAACACTTTAGGAGATAAGAGTGTCTTTAAATGTGAAAGCGTGAATTTCTCCTGTTTGTTATGTGTGCTTACTTAGACTGAAATTTACTGTTCCTTCAAAGCATACTGTCAATTTTAGGTTTGTGTCCACCCCCCACAACAGTTGTGTCAGTTAGACTTTTTTCTGCTTGTGTAGTAAGACATTCAGTCTAGAGTAACTATCCATCCAACACTGCACGATGCTAAAACACACACTTGATCTCTGTCAGAAGCTGGCTCCTCCATTATATATAACCGCATTAGCACCTACCGGAGAACTGGAATGCTGAAATTGCTTGTGAACCCAAGTCTCCCCCAGATAATTGTGCAGCTGGCTCGTCTTGTTAGAATTACTAGGGCGCTTACAGAAAATGCTTAGTTTCATGACATGGTTTCATATTAATTACAAATGCTGCACCTGTTCTAAGAAATGAGCTAAGCAAATACTGGAATATTTATTTTTCCTTCTTTAATACAGTAGTATCTTAAGAAAAGCAGGATGGTAAAGGTAAAAGTAAAAAAAAAAAAAAAAGAAAAAATAAAACTTTCTGGAACGTTTCTGACAATAAATTTCTTTCAGCTGCTTCAGACTGTTCTAATGCAGTTTGCAGTTCATAAAACTTTGGCTTCTCCGAGAAACCCCTTTCTGATTTGTAACAGGATTGAGGCCAAAATACCTTGATACTTACTGTATTATATCCCACTTCTTCTGAGGCCATAATTCGTGGTTGCAGTTCTCTTCTGTATGTTCAGCTGTGGTCCTCTGCTTAAGATTGTTGTGTGTATGGAGTAGGCTGCCTTAAACATAAGGAAGTTGATTTTGAGGTGGAGAACTATGTGGCATAATCTCAGGATCTTAGTGGTGAAAGCTCTTGTAAACAAGGGTAAGCAATTGCTATGAGGCATAACCCAGTTTCAAAAAGTTATTCAGTGAACTCAAGTGGTGTGGTGGTGTGGCCATTTATTAATCAGGTATTTTCTCATAGTTTGAGGATATAGCATTCATAGGAGAGAGAGAGAGATCAGTGATGATAATCAGCTAAATCTTGGGAATTCTGTTTTGTTTACCAGTAGTATAAAAATCCTGTCACCGCAAACATGAAGAAATCAACAGCAGATGAAAGATGGTTTGCTTACGGCTCTTCAGCTAGCACTCTCAGTAAATTGTCTGTATGCCTTTCTCTTGGTTGTGCTTCATGGAAGGTCATGCTCAAGGAACCTAAGGAGCAAGCATGACATTCTGCTGTCTGCTTTTTCTGCTCTCTGCTTTTTTCAGCCTGGGATGGTTAAACGATGGTTTCTGTAACTGGTTAGTTATTCTCCACAGCAGCTGTGGACTTACGATATGGATGGATTTGGTGGAGAGTTCTGAAGGTTTTTTGGCTTCACTAAATTGTTCGTCCAAGCAGATTATTCTTTTCAAATAAAATCATGGCATATGTTTTAGCTACCTGATGTAGCTCTGACTATAGAACATTGTCATGTTAATTTATAGTACAGTGTTTTCTGGAGTCAGTTTGCATGTTGAACCATTCTTTCCATTCATAGAATCATAGAATGGTTTGGGTTGGAAGGGACCTGAAAGATCATCTAGTTTATGGGCAGGGACACCTTCCACTAGATCAGGTTCCCCAAACCCTCATCCACCCTGGCCTTGAATGCTTCCAGGGATGGGGCAGCCACAGCTTCTCTGGGCAACCTGTTCCAGTACCTCATCACCCTCTGAGTGAAAAATTTCTTCCATATATCCAATCTAAATCTGCCCTCTTTCAGTTTAAAGCCATTGCCGCTTGTCCTATCACTACATGCCCTTTTAAAAAGTCCCTCTCCAGCTTTCCTGTAGGCCCCCTTTAAGTACTGGAAGGCTGCAATAAGATCACCCCGGAGCCTTCTCTTCTCCAGGCTGAACAGCCTCAACTCTCTCAGCCTGTCTTCATAGCAGAGATGCTCCAGCCCTCGGATCATCTTCGTGGCCCTCCTCTGGACCCACTCCAGCAGCTCCACGTCCTTGTGCTGGGGACTCCAGAGCTGAGCGCAGTATTCCAGGTGGGGTCTCACGAGAGCAGAGCAAAGGGGCAGAATCACCTCCCTCGACCTGCTGGCCACGCTGCTTTTGATGCAGCCCAGGATATGGTTGGCTTTCTGGGCTGCCAGTGCACATTGCTGGCTCATGTTGAGCTTCTCTGGAGGTGTTTAAAAACCGTGTAGATTTGATGTTGAGCAATGTGGTTTAGGGACCCCGACAGTGCAGGGTGAATGGTTGGACTCGATCTTGAAGGTCTCTTCCAACCAGCTGATTCTATGATTCTCATCCACCAGCACTCCCAAGTCCTTTTCCTCAGGGCTGCTCTCAATCCATTCTCCACCCAGGTCCATTCAACTGACCTCAAAAATAAATGTGCAGTGTATATTGTGCATCTTATCGGTATTGGAATTCTGGAATAGAATTCAGGATTACTGATTTTAACAGCCCCTCTGTGTAGCAAATATCTGGTAATCCCTTTAGTAAATTACGGGTCTTTTCCTAAATTCTGGACATCTGCCAGGATTAACAACTCTCCGTGCTACTAGTTAATCATGTCAGTGATCAAAAGCTGAGGGTTTTTTTGAGGGAGGAGGTGAGAAAGAAGATTAAATGTCTCAGGTCTGCTAACACATTATGATACACCAAATGAATCTATTTTAGTTGAAGTTTTTCCTACATCAAAGAAATGGTACCATTTAGTGATACATTCAGTCTGTAGTTCTTGCAGGGACTTCTTTTGGGGCAGTTTTACGGAAAGCACCAGCTTAGTGTCAGGGGCTGGTGTAAAGCTGTGCAAAGAAGCCTTGTCCCACTTACTCTGCAGTTTGGAATTTGCTGGCTGAATGGAGAGAGAGGATTACAGGAGGAGAAAGGCCACCTTTGGTGGTGGAAGCTGAATTCTATTTTGACAAATTTGATTACATATCTATATCTACCAAAAATTTCTTCTGTGATATCAAGTATAGCTAAGCTCAGTCTTCTTCATGGATATGATGGGTTTGGTGGTTTTCTTTGAGTGTCTCTCTTTAACAAACGACTGTTGCCATAACGTTCTCTGTGTGTGTAAATGGGAGAACTTGGAACCTTCAGTATAACAATGTCAAGTTTTCTCAGTTAAGGTTCAAGTCAGTGCTATCATAACTGCTCTGAATATGGTGCTACAAAGATGTTAAATACTTTGAAATAATTACATTCTCTTCCATATTTGGAACAAATGAAAAGTTCATAATTTTGAATTTCCTTCAAAACACTGGTTTTGGCAAATCTGCACCTCATGCCGTAAAGCACCTTGCATGGCTGAGATGCAGTAAAAGTCTGAATTGAAGTTGTTTTATTTTGGAAGTAACACCACTTCTTTTACGGAAGAAGTCTTCAGACTTAACTCGTTTCACTTCTTTAATTCTTTTATTAGGAATGTACACAAGTCTGTTATATACAAGCTTCAGTAGTATTAATTCTAAATACATTTTATCGTTGGAGTGGTGAAAGGAATTTATTTTCCACTTTTTCTTTACCACTTTAATTTGATCTTTGTTCTCAATATCAGGAGAAAGAAGTAAAGAAAATTGAAACAAAAGAAAAACCTCAAAAAAAGGAGCCTGAAAAAGAAGAAAAGAACAGAAAAGAACAAAAGGGCCTAAAAAGTAAGTGCTAACTGCTTAAGAGAGAGAAGGGAAAGACCTTTCGAGACATTCTCCTCTTGTTTCTACAAGAGCAGATATTGTATAGTTTTGTAACACATACCAGAAACAAGAACTTCTGCTTTTATTTTAGGAAGCAAAAGTCTGCTGGTTAATGGCTTTGTTAATATCTGCTTCATGAGAATGATGTATGTACTTCCATGTATGAAGCATAAAAGTGTATAGAAATCTCTTAACATTTTTGTAGGCAAGTTAAGATTTTGCCCCTTTTCATGTAACATTGTCTATTGTGCTTCTGTGGCACGTAACAGTAATCTCTTTTTAGAGGAATTCATCTGACTCTTGGCCATTTCCAGAAGTGTTCTGATAATACTGTGAACACATATTTCTGTGTTTAGAAAAACTAGTAGAGGTGCCCATCAGACAAACTTCTTGCCTCTTGCTTTAGCCACAAGGAGGGTTGTATTATACAACCCTTAAAATACCACCAGGACTGGATTATTTGATACGTGAAGAAAAACATCCAGCTTGTGTTTCTATTCTTAGTAGTGTAATGGAGTACTAATGTTACCACTCTTGATATCAGTAAAATTCTGGATGATTTTATTCAGGATAAATTCCCTCACTACTCCTCTGAGGATGAACTGAGGAAAACTAGTAACTCCACCTTTAATAATCTTGAATGGATATAGCAGGAGCTATGATGCTTCAAATAGCTGTTGCTAGAGCAACGTCTTTCACTGAACGTCGTAAAAAAAAAGTAGTAATAAACAGAACAACTAATTACTGTTCCTTGTACAGCACGTGTCCTTCATCTGTTCATCACAGATACTGAACCATATTTTCAAAGTAGAAATTTACGTGTAATTCTAAGCTGCGTTTCTTAAAAAGAAGATGGTACCTTGCTGAAAGCAGTGGGAACTCGGACTTGCCAGGGTAGCTGGAGGTGAACTGGGTTTCCCCGATTTTGGGCTTATGTTGTTAAGCTTGCTCCTACGCTTCAGCAATGATTAACTGAAATGATTAATGGAAAGAGAACAGACCTTTTCTCAATGAACTCTGGTCACTCACTTAAACTTTGTTGTGTAATAGTCTTTAGTGGCTCAAGTAGTCACTCTTGGTAACTGTCTTAATATTCTAGGCCTTAAGGACATCAAAAGTGCATTTGGCTTGTTTAATGTAGCTTCAGAAGAAAAAAGTGAACGTTCTGAGAATAACTGCAAAAGAGAAGAATCTTCGTTAGAATATAAATTCATAGAAGAATTAAAATCAAAAGACAGCAGAGTGTACAAGGAAAGGAGGAACATAAGAGATGAGACAGACACATGGACTTACATTGCTGCAGAAGGTGATCGAGCAGTAGTGGATGTGTGTCAAATGGAGAACTCTGGTGAGCAGCAGAAACAAATGCAGGGGAAAGTTGAGCACCGGCAGTTAATATTTTCTGCTTTCCTGCTTGCAGCTTTTAGTGTTCCAGTCCTTGTCTCCCCAGAAGACTGAAATGATGTTTTCTTTTGAAATTCACTGATAACTTTTCAGTGTGTTTCCAGTGTGATTACTGCTATTACAGTAATCGCTTCAGCCTAACTTAGTACAACGCATAAACAGTTTGTTTTAAGTAAAAGCATTTTATGTCTGTTTGTAACATAGCCTTCATTGTTTGGAACCATTCCATGCTGACTTCCAGAGCCTGTTTGAATGGAAAGTAGTAGTATGTTAAGCTGCTGATCGTTGAAGCAATGGCAAGCAATGAATGATTTGGAAATTTATAAGTTACTGATTACTTATTTTACATTTTTTCTTCCATAAAATCAAATACATGATAGATGGCAAACAGCAAGTCTTGAGTTTGGGTATGGACATGCAGTTAGAGTGGCTGACACTAGAAGACTTCCAGAAGCATCTTGATGGAGAAGATGAGAATCATGTGTCAACAGAACCGATACCAAACAGTGAGTAGTTGCTGGGAGGAAGGGACTTTTCTTAGCTGTTGTTTCAAAGTGAAATATCCTATAACTGCGTTTTATTTTCTAGCTCTCCTGAGGGATGCTGTTAAAAGCGGAGATTATATGACAGTAAAGATGGCACTTTCTTCAAATGAGGAATATAATCTGGATCAAGAGGTAATTTTTCTGCAGTAGAAGTACTGGGAAGGGTGGGAAGGAAGAGTACAAATATACATTGTTTGAAAAGTTTTCCCCTCTTGCTAGTAGCAGATTTCTGTCTCTCTTTGGAAAAAAAGCACAAGGTGAGAAAAAGGAGTAGAGAATTTGAGGCTTCAATATTCGTTCTCCATTTCTTCCAAAGGAAAAATGAAGTTTGATAGAAGCATCCCAGTAGCTGGATTTGCAGCAGATTTGCCTGCTGGATTTAACTGAATATTAAATTTAGAACTTTCCATGGTATAAGGAATTATGATACCTATCAGGTCAAGTGGCTAAACTATGTAAAACATCTATATATGTTGGGGGGGGTGGGTAATAATTGAATGCTCTGTTTGACAGACTGGAACCACTTCACTCCATGAGTGATCTGTTTTCTGGCAAGTTCTTCATCAGCTGTGTTCTTACTGGTTTTTCTTTCAAGGATTTATTTTCATGTTAAATAGTACTGTAGTTGCATTTTTGAGGATTAAAATCTGATACCAGTATTTTCACTGATGATCTTATGTATTTGTAGTATGTAGCATTTTGAGAACTATACGTTTTGCTAAGACTTCTGTAGCCCAGTAGAAAAGATTCCAAATGAACTACCGAGGCAAACGTGTTCTTTGAAATGTGGTGTCTGGTGGAAAATGCAAGAACGAGTGGGGAGACTGGCCACTCACAGAATTCTCTTCATACTTACACTGATAAAATCCAAAAGCAGTGTTGTGGTAGCAGCTGTTGTGGTACCAGTGTTGTGGTAGAGCCATTGTGTTTTTTCTCCAGTGGCTGCTGATTTCTTTTTCCACTGTATTGCTGTCTTCCCCATTTTAAATACCTTGCTGCCTTTCTCCCTGGCTCATTCAGTTTTTCATTATTCTTGTTCTGGTCCTTGGAATGTTACGGGTTTTGCAGATTGTGGAGCTCAGAGCATGAAGCCTGTGGACAAGAGAAGTGGGAGGTGATAGTTTGTTGGTATCTGGCAGCCATGTATGTGTGAATTCTTCTGCCAGGGAGCGGGATCTTTGTGAAACCTGTTGACACACTTGCAATTTTTGTCTTGCAGCTTTGATTTGTCTTAAAGTTTTGGGGCGGTTTGGGTTTTTTGGTTTATTTGTTTGTGGTTGGCTGGTTGTTTTCTTGTTTTGCGTTTTTTGGGTTTTTTTTTTTTTGGTAATGGCAATGATTCTTGTTGCAGGACTCAAGTGGAATGACCCTAGTAATGCTTGCTGCTGCTGGTGGGCATGATGACCTTCTCCGAGTCCTAATCAGGAAAGGAGCTAAAGTTAATGGTAGACAGAAAAACGGAACCACTGCATTGATACATGCAGTTGAAAAGGTTGGCTTGGTTATTGTCCTATTTGTGGTTCTAGGCTCTTATGTTTAAAAGTGGTGCACAATTTTTTTCCCTTGGATGATGCCTAAAAAGTAGTTAGCAGGATATAGCAGGGTGACCTTAACTGCATAATTTCAGCAGCTATGGTTACTGTGGCGTAAATAGAGTAGGGTTTGTGATCAGAATTTAAGTAGAGAATATCATAGGGCTACCTAAAGGGAAAGTGGAGGCAAAGGATATCTCTGAGTTTGTCACAGCGGCTGAAGTTCTTGTGTTAGAATTGCTTGTTACAATCTCTGGCTACACAGGATCCAAACCTGGGGAGACTTTGAGTGCAGATCTCTGATTAAGCAGGGTTTGCTATTTGAGAGTTGGGTGATGGAGACGGTGGCAAGCTCTTCTCAAACTAAGACCAACTAGACTGGTAAGTTAGAAGATGTTTCATGGGTGTGTTCTTTTGTTCAAGTCGGTTCATGTGTTTTCCTGTGTACCATAGATATAAGGCCAAAAGAGAGCTTGATTCCAGTTTGATGATTAATGCAAACATACTGTTTTCTTCCTGTGGTGTTCACTACTGCGAGATATAGAAAAAAGCAAGGATTGTGTATACTCATGGCTATCTACTTGACTGAGTCTGAATTGCTCTTTATTAGCCTTGGGAGAGAACAAGGTTAGTTGTCTCATGCCTCATGCTTTGGATTTTACAGATGGGTTTTAAATAAATGTCACTTTATATTGAAAACAAAACCAGAATGTTTTCTTCTTACTTGTTTTGTGGTTTTGTTGTTTTTCAGAATTTTTTAACAACAGTAGCTATTCTTCTGGAAGCTGGTGCATATGTGAACATGCAGCAGAGCAGTGGTGAAACTGCTTTAATGAAGGTAAATCTGACATTTGTCCTGACACAATTTCACACTGAATATTTTCGACAAACTAACAGAAAAAGCATATTTGCAGAGTTGATTTAGGGAACACCTGCTGTATTTGAAATACAAATACTACTGTTAGTTATTCTAGGCAGTGTTTTAATCCATTTTTTAATGTACTGTTATATCTAAACAATAAATGCAGATACCCTCAGCATACAGTGCTAAATGTGTCTCATCATCCTCTTCTGTGTTTGAATACTTCTGCAGAAACCCATTTATTTGGGTGAACAATTGCAAGAGAGTTTGCAGTTGCTGAACTCCAGCAGATTAGATGTTTTCACAGAACTTCTGGAGTTTGTTTTATCCATTTATTTGTTTGTGGTTTTTTTTTCTAATTAAGTGCACTTGGTAATCCTGAGTGTTGCTGCTTCTCTGGGATCAGGTGTGTAGTGTTGTCTGGGTAAAGATAAAATATTTATGAAGTGTGATCCTGAGTTTCATGTCGTGTTAGCATTTGCAAAGCGAATACGTAAACTTCTTTTCTGAATTGTAACTAATTTGAGGATTTTGGTTTGTTTCTGCACTTCTGCTTACTTTAACGTTATGCTCTATTTTAATGGGGATTTGTCATTGTTGTCCATCTTTCCATCTTCTCACTTTCCACACAGGCTTGTAAAAGAGGGAATTCTGATATAGTGCGGCTTATGATTGAAAGCGGAGCAGACTGTAACATCTTGTCAAAGCATCAGAACAGTGCACTGCATTTTGCTAAACAATGTAATAACATACTGGTGTATGAGCAGCTCAAGAGTCATCTGGAAACGTGAGTAAATTGTACTTTGAAGTTCGTTCTGGTGAAGTTTGCAATACTAGGCCTGTCAGTTTTGATTTAAGTCAAGGGGAAGAGGGAGAGATTTCAGGAAAGAAGACAAATCTGATTGAGGCAGAAAGCTAACTAATAAATCATGTGAAATAAAAATGATGTGAGCTAGCAGAATTAGCAGACACTTTCTTAAACACTAGTTGAAATGATGGAAAGGAGGAAAAGGGAATTACTAGAAGTGGAAGGTTTCTTAAACTAGAAATAAGGTGGTTGGGCAAAACTATGGAGTGTATAAGCACTGTATAGTTGAATGTAAAATCTTATTATGGCATGCCAAATAAAATACCTTGCTAAAAAGCATAAAAAAATTTAGACACAAACAGAAGAACACCGAACAAAAATGGTGAAGAACAGAAGAACACGAAACAGAAACTTTTCACTGACAAGAAAAGTCAGTGCAGATAGTGTTGTTGGATCCTTAAATGTGAGCTGTGAGCTGAGTGTGCCAGGGGTAAAGCTTTCATGCCAGTAAACGAGGCAAATAAAAGTCTTCATCGTGCAATAGAGTGACTGAAGAAAAGTGTGATGTATGTTGTATGTAAAGCATCCATACCCATATGGTCATATAAAAAATACATTGAGCTGATGAATATGGATGCTAAACAGAGACAAACTAAACATAAAGAGAAGGAGCAAGCTCCCTAAATATCAATTTAGAGGAATACTGACAGCTCATGTGCCGGGGCAGAAAATTGTAACCAACAATCTAAACATGGAGAAGACTCAAGGAGGGTCTCAGAGCTTCTGCAGCAGGTGAGATTTTGCTGTGAATGCAGTTAGTGCTGGAAGAACACTGTCTCAGTGCAAGGTCCTTTTATTGGTTTATGATGGTTTTATCCTAATGATTTAGCTATATAAGACAATCTGTCACATAGTTTGTAGTCCAAGCTTATTCTGTTCTGTTTTAGTGTCTAGAAAGACCTGTCTGTTCTCTGTCTCTGATTTCTTGTATTTCCCATCAGCCAACGTCCTAAATCTGTCTTGACAGAAACTGCCTTGTAATTGTCACTGATACGTGCTGTAGTACTACTTACTTATTCTTACTGTATTTTAAATAGTTATTAGTGCTCTTT